ACTGGCTATTTCAGCATTAGTTCAGCATAAGATATTTGTGAATGCCTTCTTTATTGAGCAGATTCAATATGAGGCAGGCAGTATGACATATTCAGTTATTCTCTCCATGTTAACGAGAACAGAAGCAATATTTGTTATTAATTAAATATGAGATAAAAGGCATTGCTAACTCATACTTGCAAGCTTCACATGAGTTCTCGATGAGCAGTATTTAGGTATGAGACCAAACTCATTGCGTCAAAGAAACAATACTGACATCGCAAATACTACTCGATCATAAGGTAACAGGTAGTATACTGGCACCTTTGGCGTGTGCGCCTGCTACGCCGCGAGGACTTTTGACGGGCTTTAGTTCAGGGCTGATGATTTGGGGCCGCACTTGTTCTGCTTAAATTTAGATACTTAGTGAGGAAAGCAAGTAGTAGTATTTTTGGTACAGGTGACGGCAATACGCTGAGGCTTTATTCCTGTTCCAGTGTTGGGAACGAGAAGGGCAGAAGACAGTATTCCTTCCGTTTTCGTATTCATGGATGCTTGCTGTCGAGACCAACACCGACGGCAATACACCGAGGCTTTATTTCTGTTCCATGTATGTATGTATGTATGTATGTATGTATGTAAGTAAGTAAGTAACTATGTAAGTATGTAAGTATGTAACTATGTAAGTATGTAAGTATGTATATATGTATATGATGTACATGTATATGTATATTATATGTGTATATGTATGTATATATATATATATGTGATTCTATGTGTATACATACACATACATATGCAGCATAGAAGTCTATTCAGTTCATTCTGCCTTGTTCTATTGCATTCTGCTCTGTTCTGTTCTATTATGTTCTAGTCCGTTCGATTCCAAGTATATTCCAGTTTTTAGTGTATTTCAGTTTTTAGTTTAGTCCGATTCACATTCCGTAATGATGCTGTTCATTGTTTCAAATCGAATGAATTCTAAGTCAACCCTTAGTACAATATTAGTCTAGTTCTGGTTCTATTCTATCCTTTTCCCCACCTCCCTGGCACGCACAGCACACCATACGCAGCATGTAGAATGACCACACACAGCACACCGCATACTGTACGAAACACGCAGACCGCACGTGGCACGCCACACGCAGCACAACACACACGGCACATCTAAGGACTACATACACCATGCCACACACAGCACACCAGAAGCAGCACACACAGCAGAAAACGTTCTCTGGAACAAACAAAACATCCACATGTCTGCGGGTCCTATGATTTCACTTTGGATTCGTTTGCAGTACAGTATATCATATGCTTCGCTGCACCAGGAATATCAACATCCTGGCTTTGTGTTGACCTACGGTGTTGGACACGTCGTGATCATCGCCATAGATGAGGCCTTCAATCTTTGCAGTGCCGTGTCTCCAGGGACATTATAGGGAGTAGAGCCTGAGACGAACTTCCCAAGCCTTAAACCCTACACCCTAATTCAAGGAAGGCTCCTTTATGAAGGGATTCGGGAGTCAGAGTGCTGTGGTTTCGGACACCCTAAACCCTAAACCCTAAACCCTAAACCATCTTTGCCGACTTCAGGGCCTCGGCACGAGGATGAGACCTCCGGCGAGGGACGAGAAGTACGCCTCGAGCCCTTGGCGCGCAAAACTTCTGGTGGGGCAGCGGTTTAGGCTTAGGATGTTAGGGCTTAGAGGGGTTCCGGGTTTAGGGTTCAAGGCAGAGGGTTTTAGGCCTAAAATTTGGGGTTTACCGTAGGTTTTAAGGTGCAGGATCTGCCGGGGTGAACGCGAATTCCCAAACACTCTCAGCCGGAACCCCTGACCCCAAAGGTAGTTCTCTGAATTAGGGTCCGGTGTGGGGTCATTTCTAGAAGGGTGCCGTACTGCATTGGGGACCTAAAAAGTTACCTTAATTTAGAGAACTACCCATATGTTGCGAAGATCTGAGGAAGATAGGACCCGGTGCGATGGGGCCGTCCTTGGCGTCTTGGCCCTTGGCAGGCTTGTGGGAAAAAGGCCGAAGGCTTTTTAGGGGTCAGGGCTTGGGGTTGAGGTTTTGGGGCTTAGGGGGTACGACCAGGCTGGCAGATTCCAGGGGCGGGGCGACTTGAACCCAAAAAAGCCAGGTGGGTGGGGTTCCAGGCTGGTAGATTCCAGGGCCTTCCTAGCCCCAGACCGGGGTCTCCAGGTCGTGCAGGCCAAGCGCCAGCTTCTTAGGTCAATGTGTCCAGGCCGGGGTTTTCAGCGACCCAAACATGGCGTCACTGGAAACTTCGAGCAGCCCTGTTTGTTGGGAGCCCTTGCTTCTCGTCGAGCGGCCGGCGCGGACCCACAACCCTACACTAATCCATCTCAGCTGTGGTTTGCTGTGCAACGCGCATTTTATGCAGAGCTGCGAGGGGAAGCAGAGAGCAAGAAAGTCCCCATTAGGAGGGGGTTTGGGGGGTGAACCTTAAACTAAACCCTAATTGAGAATAGTTGGTGGTTGGGGCGGGACTACATGCTGACGCAAGCGCGCGATAAGTGGGTGTGCGCCCCTATTCCTAAAGTAAAGGGCGCACCCACAGCACCCACACACTGTAGACACACCCCAAACCCTAAACCCTAAACCGTAAACCTCAACCGTAGAGCCCAAAGCGCACAACAGACACCTTGGTCCGGTGATGGTGTCGCAGGAGCACCCATCATCGCAATGCCAAATCCCATTCCCCGGTCAGTAGACTTGCACCGGGTGATCACCACAAATGTACGGTTTAGGGTTCAGGGCTTAGGGATCTTGGGTGGAAGGATGTGACTTTGGGGTCCAAGGCTCAAGAGTGAGGACGGGAGCTCCGTCGAAGTCCCGTCTGGTAGTATAAGTCCTTGAGCACAGCCAAGGTCGGATTCTTTATCGGAACCTCCTGCTATGGAATTGCGAAGCGCCATGCAGGGGCTTGGCTAGGCCGGGGATGGGGCCGTCTCTTTTCCAAAATCCCTGCGCAAGACTCCGTTGTCGAATGGAAACCCGGAGGCGTGCTGATGCCAGCCCTGTTGCCGCTTGGCCTCTCTACACGAGTCAGTCCTCTCTGAGAGTGCAAGCCTGGTGACGACATGAAGCCAACACTGTTTCGATTTGGGCGTCTTGAGCAGTTCAGGACCACCTACGAACAGCTCACACTGTATGCATCGACAAGAGCTTTTTTAACCCACTTCGTGCAGGACCCTTTGGTTTGGGCTGCAATGCGAGCAAGCGAAAGATCTCGGGAGCACGGAGGAATGCACCAATTGAAGCCCAACACAGAGAGTTTGGGGAACAACTCTTGAAGGGACGCGAAGCTTAAGGTTCCCAATACTACTACGACTAATAATCACAATGATAGTAACATAAAACTAATAATAACAATAGAATAACAATGATAGAACAAAAATATTCTGCGAAGCAGAAGAGTATTAAGAATGTAACAATACTATTAACAATACAAATGCTAATACCAATACTACTAATAGTCATGATAATAGCAGTGCACATAATCGTAACAACAACAACAACAACAAATATAATAAGACACACAATAATAATAACGACAAGAATGTTTCTATTAAGAATACGAATAGTAATAAACAGCCCAGAAAAAGCCTCGGCCTTGCATGCGGGAGCCTTTGAGCTTGAGCAATAGTAATGTCTTAATATGAATAATCGTAATGATAGTAGTAATTCTAATAGTAATGGTAATAAGAATATCAACAATAATAACAGTACTAATAGAAGTACAATAAACATAGTACTAATAATGGTAAGAGGGAGCCCCCCTCGGAGCTTGAGCAGGAGAAGGATGCTCGGCGTGAGCCGCTTTGGCTGCAGCGAGGGCACAGGGTGTCTGAGCACCGGGGGTAACCGTTGAGATGGCAGGGTTGCTACTTACTATATTATGGTATAGTACAATATATTTTAATTTGTATAGTAAATAGTATAGTATAGTACAGTACGGTGTGGTATAGTATATAGTGGAGTTTCGTATGGCATAGCTAAAGTCTATCTACTCTAGTCTGTGCCTTCCAGGATAGAAGCACCACAGCTAGCAAACTCCTCAAAGGCTGACCTTGGCACAGAATTATGCTCATGTCCATCTCCCAGTGGATGTTTTGCTGGTCTTCGATACCGCAGCATCCGGTCGACTCCATCTAACAACAGAAGCCCGGCCTCGCTTCAGCACAGTCCAGTTTTCGCGACCGCGTTCGGGTATTCCGTTGGGCAGGTACGCTGATACCAACCAGGGAATTATCCTTTCCCTGGCCATTGCAATGATCCATGCGCTGGCCGAAGGAGCGAGGCTCACCCTGATTTTGGCTTCCCGGCTGCATGCATGGCTGCATTGGTGGAAGGCTTCACGCTTGGCTTTCGTACATCCAAGCTGCTTGTTGCTGGCACTGGTATTAGAAAGACCTACTTATATCAAAGAGGTGCGTCGGTGAGCAGTCCCTACATGACTGTTAAGATTACCCAGCTACCTTCATCCCTTCGGCTTTGGAGCTTCTTCCCGGCCACCAGCGGATCAGGGCCACCCCCGCCCATCCATCCAGCAGCTCCCACAGGAGACGTGACATTGCACTACCTCACCCCCAAACCCAAACCCAAATCCCATACTGCTACCTTACAGTCTCGCAGCCATAGAAGCCCAGAGCCCTTCACTCAAAACCCTTCGTCCTGAGTTTAGGAAGCCCTTCGTCCTGAGCCGTCTGAGGTGGACCTGGCACAGACCAGCTCGCAGTTCGGCTTCTTGGTGCCCATCGGGTGCGGTATGGTCTGGAGCCTCGTTCGAGAGAATCAAAGTAAAGATTACTACATGGGTTGCTGTAAGCTTTGCTGTGAGGGTTAGTAACGGTTAGTTATAAGGGTTGCTATTAGAGTTGCCATACAGGTCTTCGGTGATCTCACGTCTCGGGGTGGTAGTTTTGTTGTTGATGTGTTGAGCCATGTCATCCAACCTGGCACTTGCAATCTTCGGTTTGTCTGTTTTCAGGAACATCATGATCCGCGCGGGAGTTCTAGACAAAGCTCTGGTGGTGCTCACATGTGGTGCCTTGGCGACATTGCCAAAAAGAACCAACCATCTGAGTAGTAACCCCTATAGCCTTACAGAAGCCTTGCAGTAATCTTGATCATACCCCTGTAGAACGAAGGGCTCACGGGGTTCTTTGGCCGTGCGCTGCTGGAAGCCAAGGATGGAGAACCCCCAACAACTGCGGTCTGGTTCTGCAGGAGGTCAAGTATTGCATGGGCTACTGCAGGTGGGGAGTCCCTAGACCCATAGCCCTAAACCCTACACATCAAATCTGAAACCGTAAATGTCGAGAGGGTAGGAACTCAATCCTACATGTCGTGACAAGTAGCCGCGCAACACGACAGGCCTTGGCATTGTCCGTTAATATACTCTAGTATACTATGTAAATGTCTGCTCTTGTACACTACACTAGGTTCAACCACTACACTAGGTTCAACCAGCACCTTTTTATAACATTCTATAATGTACTACAGGAACATGTCGGGTATATCGGAAGAAGATGTGCAATCCTTTGGATCTTCTGGGACTCTTTGGAGGCAGTTTTTCGTATATGGTCTCGGCACCTGAACCAAGTACGAGGCCTTAAACGCAAAGCTGTAAAACCTCGGCCCTAAGCCCGAAACCCCAGACCCCAAACCCTAAACCCCCGAACCCGAAACCGAAAACCCCGCACCCAAAAGTCTTCGCTGAGGGCTCGACAAGAAAATCTGGAAATTCAAGCGTTGGGTTTGGCTTTGAAAGAGGAGCGGTCATTGCAAAATCGAGCATTTGGGGCTTTGGATTGCCAAATCGACCATTTTGGGGCCTTGGTGGGGTCCCCCCCAATTGGGCGGCTGCCTTCTTGACAAGGGTTGACCCCCCAACCCGACACCAGTTGGAGCCGGCCCCCTTTTTCTTCACGAGTTGTAGCAGCCTACGACCCCCCAACCCTTTACGAGTTGGAGCTGGCCCCTTCTTGACAAGGGTTGGACCCCCCCATTGGAGCAGGCCCATTTCTTGACAGGGTTGGACCCCCAACCCTTCATCGAGTTGGAGCCAGCGTTCCTTCTTGCAAAGGGTTGAACCCCCCGAAACCCTTCACGAGGTGGAGCCGGCCTTAACAAAGGTTTGGAACCCCCCAACCTTTCGCGAGTTCGAGCAGCCTAATCTCTTGACAAGCATTGGACACCCTCCCCGAACCGTCACGAGTTGCCGCTTTCGATTTTGCTAGGGCCCCGTTGAAGATAACAACCATCGTCGGTGATGCCCAAGCCCCACTGCGATGTGTAGAAGACTTTAGAACTAAACCCTGTCGCACAGTTAGGTACGAGCTTAAAGCATATGGCCGCTCAAGCTATGTGGATCGAGCAGGCCTTAGGCCTCCTCCAGTTGGGCATTAGCACCAATTGGTGGGGCTTAGGTTGCCCCAGCCATTGTCAAGGGTCGCTTCTGGAGGTGGGTCTTTGCTGGGCTTCGGGGTTTCTTTTGGGGGTGGTTTTGACTTTGGTCTACTTTCGTGAGGCCCTCTTTGCCGTCCCCATCAGGGTGCCTTCCTCCTCGCCTCAGCCTTCTTCCTCTCCACCGACCCGTGCTGCCGATTTGCGTCTCAGGGCATTTTTGCATGAGCGATAGTGGCCTGCCAGAGGCCATCCACCACCTTGCCTCTTCGCTTGCACAGCTTTCTTTGGCAATCCGCCCTGCACCCTCTTCCCCTAGGGGTTCCGATAGTGGTTGGTTGCTAGTAGACCCCAGCCTCCCCGTTGAGCCGGGTTCCTGTGTGGCTCCGGGGCCCCCTGCTGCCTCGCCTTCCACGGCCCATCATTCCTCCCTCTCCTCTGCCCAGCTCACCAGCCTCTACAACAGCCTGGAAGTGTGCACACGCGCCGGGCCCTTACAGGTTCAGGCTCCTCTCCTGAGGCAAGAGCTTCCCGTGCGTGGGTTGCAGGTCACTGGGCCAGGCTTGTGTTGGCCGACGTGGTCCCCACTCCTCGGCCCTCCCCAAAGCTGCCTAACGCCATCAGGCCTCGCATCTATATCGTGCTGCGTGCCAGTGCCTTTGAGGGAGCCGCCCGGTTCTCTTCCTTCAAAGCCTTCAAGAGTGCTGTGGGCCCTCTGGAGAACTCGTCTACTGTGTGCCACGCCTTTGCTTCCTTGGCAGAGGCCGAAGTCTTCTGTGAAGCTGCTGGCTTCGACTTGCCAGCTGAGCGATGATGGAGCTCTCCTCTGTGGAGGCTTTAGCAGACGGGGCTCTGACTTTTCTTGCCCTCTCTTGGCCCGACGAGGGGCGCACTTCGAACCTCCTGGAGGCCATCGCAATACCGGTCTTGAAACGGCAGGAAGGCCTGCTCCTCTGTATCCCGTGCGGCTTCTTAGCTCTGTCGGTCCTAGACGCAGGGGCAGAAGCAGATGCGCTGGCCACCGTGGGCCATTCTCGACAGGTGAAGGTGCCCTTTGGCATGGCCGACGAGCAGGGGACAGAGCAGCCTGTGGACTTGGAGGCCTTTGTTCTCCTTGTGGACTTTGGGAGCGGGGTCCTCCCCCTACTTCGGGAGCTGGGCGAGGACTTTGGGCTCGACAGTGTCTTTCCTTTCATTCTGCACCAGCCCGAGGCAACCCCCCTGTCGGACGATCTCTTAGGAGCCGCTCGCGAATGGCTGGCCGAAGCTCCTCACGACCGCCTGGCCTTTTACTCTGCACAGGAGGAGCTTCCTCTTGCACAGGTGAAGCCCAAAGGCAAGAGGTCACCACAAGCCAAAAAGCGGGTTACCACGGCAGACCTTGCCGCCCAGATGACCCACCTCACAGCTCTGCTTCCTCAGCTCACCGAGCAGCTGAGCTGAGCACGATGCAGACAAGGCAGGATGCTCTGGAGAAGCAGGTGCAAGGCCAGCCGGCCCAGGTCGAGGCTCCGAAGCTCCCTCACCAGCAGCACTTTGTTCCGCCGAAGGGGCCGGGGATTGCACTGGGCAAGGAGGCTTCGCTTTTGGGCCCCCCTCCTCGCACTCGACCACCTCTAGAAGCAACACCGGCTGCTGCTGCAGGCGTGGGCCCTCTTCCTTTGGCTGCCTCTCCTGTGACCGACGGCCCTCAGGAGCCCTTTCAAAGTGCGCTTTTGCAACAGAGCCAGGCATTGTCTGCCCTTGTGGGCCACCTGGTGGCACAGCAAGAAGGGGGGCTGAGCGATTTGACTGCCTCATCTTCCAGCAGCATCGGCGCCAAGGGCGCAGCAAAGAGGGAGAAGCTTCAGGCCGCATTGGCTGCGAGGTCGGGCGACTTCTTCCTTTCTGTTCTTCAGGCAGCGGCCCGCCGGATGCAGCCTTCCCAGCCGATCCCAGCATCGCTAGGCGAATGCTCCTCGCAGGTGTCGATGTGCCAATACCTAGAACGGTCAGCGCGAGGCCGGCTATACGATGTGGTGCCTGGCTCATGTGATGGATTGCCTGGCACAGGAGGACATAGCAGGGGCAAGGGAGTTCCTGGCTCTGACTTTCGTGGCCATGGACCAGACCTCCATCGACGGGGGCCGGTGGGACTTTGCTTGGCTGCTGACTTTGCTGGAGGAGCCACCAATGCAGATGTTCAGGGGCAGGGGCCAGGTTGCGAATCCCAGGACCCGGGCGTTTTCTCCACTGTCGCCGGTGTCTTGGACCACTTGTGCTTTGCAGTACCTGAAGGAGGTCGATCTGATATCGACCCGCAGACTGGAGACCCTCGGCCACAATCGGGCCCCCGCCGCCACACCCGCCGCGGACGACGTGCAGGCACCTCCTGCCAAGCCTCGCCGTGCAATACCCTCGCAAGCCAAAGCCAGAGGCCCCCGCCTGAACCTTTGCAGCAGGCCGCCCCCTGGACTTTCGCGCCCGGCCGCTTCCTCGTCAGCTTTTGGCTTTAACCTCAAGGTTTCCTTTGCCTCCTGGGTTGGGGGCCTGCTCAGGGCCGTCCTTCGCACTCGGACGGTCTTCTCTTCTTTCTTGTGTTCTACTTTGCACCTGCCCAGGCTTTCCCGGCCTGCACCGCCTTCGGGGGTTCTGTTTCCGCTCCCCCTGCCATTTGAAGATGCTTTTAAGCGTTTCTCTTTGGATTGCAGCAGCCGCTTTCGCAGGCGTGTGATGCATCGCCGCCTGCTGCACTTAGTCTGTATGGGGCTCAACTTTCTCCACGCGGGCTGTGTGCCAATACCTTTTGCTGCTCTCCAGCAGCCCCCCAATGCAGCACAGCAACGGCTTGTCGCGCACGTGGGTCGGCATTTGAAGGCGTTCGGTGCCTCTGTCAATGAGTTCGCTCTCCCTGACTCGGGCCGCCGCAATCCACAATTAGTTGCAAGACTTTCGGAGCTGGTTGCCTTCCTCTCGGCTGCCTCCGCCAACACGGGAGATGCTTATGCTGATTTGTCAGGTACTGCTGTCCCCACGCACAACGATGCCTTTCCCGGCCTGGAGCCTTTTAGTTCCCTGAACGTTTCTCGTTTGAAGCTTTCGGGCCATGGCTCCTGGGATCCTGGGCCCTTCTTGTCTGATGAGCTCTTCATGGCTTTCAATGAGCCCCGCTCCCTTCTGCACGCGGGCCCTCCACCTGAGGATTTTGTGCCGGTCTGGACTCGGAAAAGTCACCGAGAAACGGCCGCCCTGGCTTCTCTTTGGGACGGCCTTGGGCTCCTGCGCCTTGAACCTGCGCTGCTTCGTGCTTCTGAGTCTTACCGACTAGCACGGGCCTTCAATTCCTACAAGAGCCCAGACAAGGACAGGATGATAATCGATCGGCGGGGGCAGAACCATGCCGAGTCCCGCCTGGCCGGCCCCAGTCTGTTCATCCCAGTCGGCCCCATGCTAAGCGTGATCGAGGCCGACCCCTCTTGCGAGCGCGTGCTCTGCTCCGTGACAGACCGCAAAGATTTTTATCACCAGTTCGCGGCCAGCCGGCCGAAAGCTTCACTCACTGCCTTGGGCCCCGCTTTGCCTTCTTCTTGGCTCTCCCACACGGCTGCTTTTGCTCGTCTTCAGGCTGTGCGACCTTCTTCCCGGGAGCAGCGATTGGATTGCTTCTCCTCCCAGCCAGCTGATGATGCGAGGAACCCTCTTCTCTTTGAGGAGGGCTCCCTCCTGGTTTGCTTCCGAGCCATTGGCCAGGGCGATCACTTGGGTGTCGAGTTTGGCAGTGCAGCCCACGGGGCTTTGTTGGAGTCCGTGGGCCTTTTGGGTGATGCTGAGCGTTTGTGCTCTAACAAGCCTTTCAAGGGCGACCGTTGCGCCCAGGGCCTGGTGATCGACGACTTCTTTTCGGTTTGTGTGCGGAGGGATGATGATAGGGCCGAGCCCGTGTGTAATGAGCATGTTCGGCGAGCCAAGGCTGCGTACCAGCGGGAGAACCTCGCGGGCTCGGACGATAAAGATGTTTGGGGCGAGCCTGTCGCCAAGGTAGCCGGTGCAGAAATCAACTCCAGCAGGGAGGCCCGCAACCTCGGCCTCATCACACTGGCTTCTCCTGCTTGCAAGAGGCTTGCTTTGGCTGTTGTGTCTCTTGAGGCGGCCAGGTTTTCGCAAATCACTGACAGCTTGATGCTGTCATTGCTTGGCAGCTGGACTTCCACACTGCTGTTTCGGAGGCCTCTGATGTCGGTGCTTCGGGCCGCCTTTGAGGTCGTTCCCTGTGGCTCCCTGCGGTCTGGCTCTCCTCGACTTTGTGCCCTCCCCCGCTCGGCTGCCGAAGAGCTGGTGTTGCTCAGTGTTTTGTGCCCGCTTGCTGCTGCTGAGCTGAGTGCTCCTCTTAGCCCCACGATTCATGCAACAGACGCCTCTGAGCACAAAGGTGGCTATGTGTCGGCCCCGGCTGGCTTTTCACTGGCCCGGGCACTCTGGAGAACTGCCTCAAAGAAGGGTGGCTACAGCCGGCTCTGGTCCCGTGAAGAGGCCACTCTTGCAAGGTTTACGGACAGGGAGGTTTTCGACCTTAGGCTCGTCAGGGATGAGGGTGTCTGCCATCCTGGGCGCCCCCTTGCCTACTACTTTGACTTCATTGAGGTCGGCCTTCAACAGGGAGCTGTTAGCTCCTGCCTGTCTGAGCTCGGTTTCCGCACGGGGCCCACCATCAGCTTTGCCCTCAGCCCGGCCTACGACTTACTTTCGGTCAGAACCATAGAGTGGCTGATTCACCTCATGCGCCAGCGGAAGTTGAGGAGCCTCCTCATCTTGCCGCCTGTTTCCGACTTTGCTGCTGGCTCTTGGCCTTCGTGGCGCTCGCCAGGCGAGCCAAAGGGGCGCCCGCCGCTGTCTAAGAGGACTGCCTTCTCCAACGCCCTTGCTCTTCGGTGCCTTTCCTTGGCTTTCGCCGCCCTCCAGTTTCAGGTGATCTTCGTGTTGGTTCAGCCAACGGTCTCGGTGATGTGCCACCTACCTGAGTGGGGTCGACTTTGCTCACTTGGGGCCTCTCAGTTTGCTTCTTGCACGAGGCTTTCTGGACCGTGCCCCCACGCCCACTTGTTCCTTGCCGCAGGCATCGACCTTTCTCCTCTTGGCCGTCTTTGCGATTGCGCCCCCTCCTTTGTACAATCTGGGGCTGCCTCGTCGCGTTCTTCGGTCTTTCTTTCTCCTGTGTTGGCCTCCGCTTTGGCCCACGAGTTTAGCTGTGCCCTGCGTCGGGTGTCCCATGTGGATTCTCAGACCCGCCTTCCCACGGACGGTCTTGAGAACCTGGTCCTGAATGACGTCGTGCTTTCCCTGCCTTGGCATGCCGGTGATGACTGGCACTGGCGCTCGTCAGCGCATATCAACATCCTGGAGGCTGCCTCTATCTTGCGCCTGCTGAAGCGCCTTGCGGCTTTTGGCCCCAGCCGTGTTGTTGTGCTTGTCGATTCTTCTGTTGCCTTCCACGCCTGTGCAAAGGGCCGCAGCCCTTCCCGTGGCCTCACTCCTGTGCTTCGGAAGATCGGTGCAGTCAGCCTGGCCTCTGGACTTTTCCCCTCCTACCACTTCGTGCCTACCAGGCTCAACCCGGGAGACTGCCCTACACGAGACCTCCCGCTGCCGCCTGTTGCGCCTTCCTCCTTTTGGCCTTCCTTCTCTGCTGACGAGCTTTACGAAGGGCTGGCTTTGCCCAAGCTGCGCCGCTGGGCAGCTAACTGGGCTCGGCTCCTCTGCCTGCTCATCGGAGCGCCTCCTGGATTTAAGCCCCACCTTGGCTGGCGCGTGCTTCGTCGTACCACAAGGCCTTTCGACTCCTCCCTTGGCTACCCTGGTGAGGGCCCGTCCTTCAGGGTGTTCAGGGTTTTTCTGGTTCTTTGCGTTGCTGTAGCTGCCCCGAGCCATGGCCTTCACCCCCGCAACGCTGCAGACGAGAGGCGCTCCCGGTCCCGTGCTGCAACTGTGCTCGCCGAGGGCCGGCCCGTGCAGCCAGCGACGCAGAAGAGAAGGGACAGACTGCTCCTTTGTGGAACTTCTGGAGCTGGAACCGCACGTCACCAAGAGGCTTAACAACTGGCTGGTGCTTTATGGCCGGCAGCTTTTTGAAGCTGGCTGGCCATATTCGCACTTTCGGAAGTTATCAATGCCGTCTCTGCGCGGGAGCCGCCATTGAGGAGGAGCTTGCAACCGGCGTGGAACCTGGCTTTCACGTGGCTTCGTGAGGAACCCCACAGCCACCACGTAGCCTTGCCCTGGCAAGTTCTTTTAGCAGCTGTTACCACGGCCCTCATGTGGGGCTGGCCTCGGGTCGCGGGTGTCTTGGCTCTTACCTTCGGCGCTTTAATGCGCATAGGCGAGACTTTGGCGTCACGACGGAGTGACTTACTGCTGCCTGAGGACGTTGGCCACACAGTGTCTTACTGCCTGGTCTCCATCCAAGAGCCGAAGACAAGGTTCAAGGCCGCCCGACATCAGTCGACGAGGCTTGACCAGCCCGACCTCCTTGCAGTTGTCAGGCTGGCCTTTTCAGGCCTGGCTTTTGGCTGTAAGCTCTGGCCCTACAGCGCTTCGACTTTGAGGAGCCGGTTTGATGCTATAATGTCACGCCTCGGCACAGACAAGTGGGAGGGCCAGGGAAAGAGCAAGCTGGACCTTGGCTCCCTCCGGGCAGGGGGAGCCACTTGGCTTCTTCAGTGTAGTGAGGATGCAGAACTAGTTCGTCGTCGAGGCAGATGGCTAAACAGCCGTACCATGGAGATTTATATTCAGGAAATCAGCAGCCTGCAATTTCTTCATAAGCTGTCGAGCTCCTCGCGAAACTTGCTGTTCTCCCTCCTGGAAAGCTTTCCCGAAGTGTTGCGTCGCGCTGCTGCTCTTCAGACGTCTTCTACACCGACCTCGGCTTGGTTTGCTCGGTTTTCCGGTGGCTGAGCTTGGCGGCGTTGGGTGGAGTTTGTGGTTGGAGGAAAACCCGGTGCGCGCGTTCACTGGGAAGT